GACTTGGCCTTTCAGGACTGTAGCAGCTACGACTTGGCCTTTCAGGACTGTAGCAGCTACGACCTGGCCTTTCAGGACTGTAGCAGCTACGACTTCTAGAACTTGCTAAGATCTCTGCTTGACAGGTCTACAGATCGAACCCCTACAACCTACAGACCCTACGACAACCTACCAACTGTTACGATTACACATGTCACGGGTTCAACTCTCGGGGTCGACACAGGTAATGTACACAGGTAAGGTAAAGTCTAGGGATCGAGCCCTGGGATCTGCATTCGCTGCTGCTAGCAGGTGAATACCGTTTCACCCTGGTCTGGTGCCTGAGTTTCAGGGCGGGCCGATCTTATGAGGGCCTGAAAATGGCCCTCAGTTTCAGGCTGAAAAGACTAAGGGCCGGAAAGGCCCTGATTTAGGCTGAAACGACACAGGGCCTGTAGGCCCTTGTTTTCAGGCTTTTGGGCTGAAAACGACACGGGCCTGAAAATGGCCCGTGCAGCCTGTTGCAGGCGCAGCATGTAACAGTAAGTCTGCTACATTAGTAGCTATGTCGAAAACAGCGCAGACAGAGTACATCATAAGATTGTGTAAAGAAAACTGGGTGAGAGAATTTGGCCTGCCAAATTCCACTGTCAGCGACAGGGATGTGCATTTCACAAGTGAGTTGTGGAAGGCTGCAGCTGCTGAGCAAGGGACACAGCTGCAGATGACATCCGGGAACCACCCAGAGGCAAACGGACAAGCCGAGCAGATTAACCGCGCTGTACAGCACTTATTGAGGCATTGCATTAAACCCAATCGGGTGTACTGGGACAAGAAGCTTGCTGCCGTCGTCATCCTGTACAATAACGCAGTCCACAGCGCAACAGGTGTCAGTCCTAACAATCTGCTCTCAACTTTTAGCCTAGACTGCCTCTAGACTTCCTACTACCTGAGAATCAGTCCACTGCTGCACCCGACACTCTCGAATTTGCTTATCGATATGAGCGCCTCATGCAACAAGTGGTGGATATCATGCACAAAGCACAGGCGGCGATGATACGATCAGAAAACCAACACCGTCGCCCGTCCGCATTTCAGGTTGGGGACAGAGTCTGGGTTAAGGCGTCCGAACTGGGGCAGGAGCATGGGATCTCCCGCAAGCTCATGCCACAGTACTTCTGACCATGGGAGGTTCTAGACATCGTTGGAGATGACCCCGATGGGCCATCTTATGTGGTACAAATCCCTGGTCACCTCCGCACCTACCCTGTTTTTCACTCCTCCAAACTTGCACCTTTCGAGGAAACTGATCAGTTTCCCTCTCGCCGGTCTATGCTGCCCTCAACCATGGATGGAGAAGTCGACATCGACAGCATTGTGGAGCATAGGGAGATGACAATGCCAAGACCATCTGGCAGGGGCCACCTTCGAAGCCGACGTTACAGGTGGTTCACGAGAGAGGAACTGATGCAGACCGCTCCACAGGTTGTCGCCGATTGTAAGGAGTCATTGCAGAAGGGAAAGCGCCAGATTGAGTGGACTTCTCAGACTATAGAAGTATGGAGCAGGGAATGTGAGGCTGAAGGCCTCGGTAAGCCTCCTGTGGGGCCTGTTCAGCCTAAGTGAAGGCGGGCCTGATAAATTACGTGAGGCCTATTTATGTGTTTTCCGCAACTGGGGATTCAGACAGTTTTGCAGCGTCAGCTGGTTGAGTGAGCCCAGGCCGTGGGTAACATCTTGTTTCGGCCTTCTAGGCCTTTCCTGAAAGAATCAGAGGTCGGCCCTGGGCCAGACACGAGGCACAAACTGCACGCAGCACACTTGGCAGTTGGACACGCGTAACTGCCAGAGGCCCTGTGGAATATTCCGGTGGGGTAGAGGCCCGGCCACTCGGGGCCTACCGGAAGCTTCTGGGGACAGGCCCAGCCCACCCAGGCAGCTCACGACTGGCAGCCACTTTCCATAAAGGAAAGTGCCTGCCCACTGGCCACGCATTCGGGCACTCGCTGCTTCTGGCGCATGCACTGCTGCGCTAGCTATACACACGAGTCGCCAACGCGCTCACGGGCGAGCAAGGGGGATTGGCAGGCAGCTATAGCTGGGCTAGCCTGCCTGTATTTGGATGACGCGCATGGTGGTCTTCGGGTGCATGTGCCATCTGTGTGGAGGATCGAGGTTGTGAGTGTGGCAAGGACATACCCAGTGCTTGATGCGTTCAACATTTGGCCGAGATCTGCTCGTACTTCGGAAAGCTGTTGATGTCACCGGCGGCATTGTAGGTAAGCTAGATAGGATCTGCCATTTGTAGTCTGGGCGGGAACGACATTGGTTCATTGATGATGATGACGAGAGTATTTCAACATTGTCATTTGTGAGCTCTGCTGTGCTCTTATTTGGTGTATTTCGTGTTGCAATTCTGCTTTTGGTTCGAGGTCACGACTATCTGGTTTCATATGTATGATGTGGCTTGGTTTCTGAATTTCGTTATCGCTCGTTTTCCTTGCATCCAGATCATGACGATGAGAACTTCTGAGCCATTGAATGAAAATTTTGTCAAAGTTCGAATCCAGATGCAATCAGATGAGAAAAGAAAAGCATTTACCACAGGATAAGTAGGAAATGTGATTTGTTATGCCTCTTCTTCCCTGTTGTCTTGTGTTTTGATCTGGTATCTCCTGCTTCAGGTTCCGGTTTGAATTTCAATTTGCTCCAAATCCCTATTTCCATGAAAAGCTACTGGTCAAGGAGGTCTACACACCCTCTCTAACAGCTCCGATGAGCATGATGGAGCTGAGGGATATTCCCCCCATCAGATGGAAGAGCACTGAGATGAATCTCTGCGTGCGACAGATTACAAAGTGTGCTAAGAAGCACAAAGTGAGAGACTCTCTGCACTTCTGCTTTGTTTGCTGGGCAGGGGATGTGTGCACATTGGGTGGGCTGACTATTGTTTTTTCCAGGGTAGCACGGTGTACGTGCACATGGTTCTTGCACACACAAGTACACATACTCACTTACCCGGCATGTAGTTGTGGCTGTATGTGGGAGCACACTTTTTGTTTTTCCATTTGTTTGGATAATTGTTTTTTCTTTTAATCTTGAATTGCACTAGAAATTTTGAGATCGTTCCTGGGCAAAGTTTGTTTGTATTCATATGCAGCATAACATAATGTATCTTGTTCAGTGTTTTTTCCCCCTGTTGCATATGCATACGTGGGTTTTGGGGGCTTTATATGCATATGGAAGCACGTATGCGTGCGCACCCTGTACTCGTATGGGGTGCTACCTTGTTACTTTTTTCACTCTTTCTTTTTGGTGTGAGGAATGTGTCCTCACGGGGCCCTGTCCAACGTGCACATGTTCTGGACTGTGCCCCCCCCACCCCCAGCAAGCCTCATGCCCGCCCTAAGTGAACACAGGCCTGAATATCCACAAGAGCCCTTTATCTCAGCGTCTTCCAATGTGGGTATCAGACAGTTGCAGCACGCCAGTTGGTTGAAGTGCAACCTTGGCCTCTTCCTAGGCTCTTTCCAGAAGTAGCAGCTGCGTCAAGCAGTTGAGCCCAGGACGCAGGTGGTTGTTTCCTGTGCACACGATGTGATGCCGAAACATCACGAAGTGGCCGCGGGCCAATGAGAATGCAGCATTGTCGTCACACCTACCCCGCGGGCCAATGCAAACACAGCAAACACTTGGAGCCTGGAGCTATACTGAAGCTGCCCAATCGAAGAGGGCCCAGACCCTTAACTTTAGGAATGGGCCTGGCCTGAGTGCATACACTGGGGCCTGACTGGAAGCTACTGGAAACTTCCTCCGCCAGGCCCAGGCAACCCAGCAGGGCAGCTACTCCCATATAGGGAGGAGGCCGGGCAAAGGAGGGCATTCGGGCGTAAGCAGGCAATGTGGACAAGCTGCTGCGTCGCTGCGCAAGTGTCTGCTTTAGCGCTGCTGGCTGGGGCGCATGCAGGCGCTATGAGGTGAAGAGGAGCGCTGCAGGGCAGCGGGGTGCTTAGCGGCCATAGCCGAGCTGCAGGGGCGGGGGCAGGTGATGGGCGATGCTGGTCTTTAGGGAAGGAGGCGCATGAGTGGGTGGACAAGGTCTGATGATGGGAGAAGAGAGAACGTACCTGGTGTATGTGGGAGGTCGGCATTGGTGTTGACGTCATGTACATTGGTCTTCGGCGGCGAAGTGATCCTGTTGCACAAATGTAGATAGGATACATAGACTAGTAGCGTAGGCTGGGCCCTGGGCGCCATACAGTAGGATCGACATTGGATACTGCGTTGGTGTGGCCTGAGGGCTTGGACATTGGCTCACGAGTTCATTGTATCGCTCTTATGTGGATGGAATCTTGATGCATTTCTGTTCTCTGCTTGGTACATGACTATCTGGACTTTTGTCTATCACTCTTGCTCATATTCCTTGCAATTTGGTATCGGAGCTGGTTCGAGTTCGCCATTACCTGGTGCTGGCAACGTTGTTACTTGGTGCGCTGACGATGCTTCTTCGCAGTAGGTATGCTTTGGCACTGGCATAAGTAGCAACACCCGGGTAGAGGGGAGTTGGCCGGAAGGCTGCCACAATGTGGGGGCTGTGGTGACAGCGGATGTATGTGTGATGATGAGAGCATGCTGATGTTGCATTTTGGCTGAGGTGGCACTGCATTGCGTTGGGGGTGGTACCGCAGCTATGACTGGTCATCGAAATGCACGTCGGCTCAATCGGTGAGAAATATGTGGTTGGGGGCAGCTATCTCCAGGTACGTTGTTCCCGTACCTCATCTTCCCTCTCAATCTCTTCTTACCGTGAGTAAGTGAGTCGAAAATGAGTGTCCTCTTTTGAGTAAGGAGCCGTGAGCGCTCTACCTTGAGAGACGACATTCCCGGTGACGCATCTGGTAGGAGAGGGCGGTGCCTCTAAAGGGCCCTGGTCGAAGCTCGGGTCACGGTCACCGTGCCAACCCTTGGGAGTAGTACACGCAGGCCATGCTGCTTTGTCCTTTGAAGCTCTTTGCTGCACCAGTAGAGGAAACGTGGACTGACCAGTCGTTTGCAGACACTCACCAGACCGTCTTTAAATATTTCTAGCGGGATCTGATCTGAATACTGGTTGTGATTGCCGTCCTGTGTGCGACGTTAAACAATTCCTGAGGACCTTGGGGGCTGTCCTTAAAATGCCTCTTGATCAGCCAGATCAGTGAGTTGAATGCTCATTGCACGCTAAGGTAAATAAAGGGCAGTTCTGGTTATAAGCGAGTTCCTGGTTACAAGGGTGGGCCGTTAAATGCACACCTTAGTCACCGCAACTATTTCCATGGTGGGTGCATCTGCTCACATGATTTATTTTTATTTTGATTAGTTGGTGGACAGACTGCTAACACCTAATAGATAGCTTAGATTAGAATTGTAGTGTTCTACCATAGCTAGTTCTCATCGAAGCTGCTGTGAGTGAAACTAATTGGAGTAGGATTAGATCATGTGTCCAATCTATGTATATGTTGTTTATACTGCTTGAACGGTAGTCTAGGTGACTTGCCGAATACTAACTTATTTTTATTTTTTTCAACCTTGTCAGACACATGTTGTGGTAGGCCCCAGTGAGGGCACTACTGCAGATAGTGTCTGCTTAGCTGAAGTGGCAGCTGACGATAGAAGGCAAACACGGGGGGATACACGAAGGATACCTGTAGTATTTCAGGTTTTGCTGCCAGGGGACAAGAGAAGGTTTAGGGCCGATGCGAGGGCCCGACATTTTGAGACTGCTAGAGAGGCAGCAACAGTAACGAGTGTTAGCACCAGCAGCAGCTAGCGCTGTAGCGATGGCCACATCTGCAGCGACCTCTTCAGGTCAGCAGACTTTAGGTGTGTTGACCAGCTCGCAGTCCACGTCCAGTGAGGTGGGATCAAACAGCTCTTCTATTCAAATAGCGGGCTTGCAATACAGCTCGCCACCTCCATGCACTAGATTGGCCGTTGAACTCCAGCAAGTGGAGTTGATCTGCTTACAGAAGGAACTTACAGAAGCTACCGAAAAAGAAACGTAGATTAGAACTAGGAAAGCTAGACTACAGAGTAGGAGGGCAGACAAAGCGGTTGAAGAAGGGTTAGATGACATTGTCGTTGATCACACAGCTGTAATCCTCAAGGGAGGTCTACTGTCCATGCATGCTACATGGACAGCAAACTGGATGCTTTCCAGGATGCCCTTGACCAGATACTGAGTGCCATGCAGGGGATGGGAAGAGCTTTCACATCCCCAACAGGCGGGCCTAGTTTCTGGCCTCCAGCTTTTCAATCACCGATCTCCTCACCAGTGATGGCAGGTCCCACTTTGTCTCAATTTAGCAGTTCACCAAGCGGTACATCAGCAACAACGTTGTAGATTGTTGCTTCTTCATTCTAGATAAGAAGGATGAGGCTCTCGACACTTGGATGAGAACGGTGTCGATGTGGGTAAGGGCAAAGACGACGCTGTTAGAGGAAGAGGTGATTACTGTTGCCTCATACCCTTAGGGATCAACAACGCGATGGCTAGATGGATTGGTAGCCTCAAAAGGGTTCGGGAGGCGCATAACTGATTAGGCTAAAACCGTTACTTTAGAAAGCTTCATGGAGTTGGTAGGGACGGGATGGCACAACCCTCAGCAGGCCCAGCAGGCCACTGATGCGTTGACCCGGCTTGATACTAAAAAGTTCAAGTCCGCGCGAGAACTTACCTCTGTCGTGGAGCGCCTTATTGTCGTCCCCGGTGTACACTACGATCCGCATGTCTTGATGACCATGTTCTTGAGATGTCTTCCCACAGATGTCAAGAACTTGCTGTTCAACGTGGCCAGCATCGAATATCATACTCTGGACTCCTTCAGCAAGAAGGCCCTAGACTTAGAGGTTAGGCTAGGAGGAGCCCAACAACCCTCTATGGATGGAAGAAGGAAGAAGAGTCCACAAAAGTGGAAAAAGAAAGGTAGTCGATTTATGATGGTTGATTCTGATGGGAATCAAATCGAGATCGACGATTATTCCGACCTAGTGGACGAGACAGAGTTTGAAAGTGAGGATAGTGTTGAGGGTAGCAATCTCGCTTCATTAGTAAAAGTTAAGGCAGGTGGCCGCGGCAAGGGCGGTCAACAAAAGAGTGAGGGGCAGACCCAGAACCCAAACAAGACTCCGACTTGGGTAAGGGCGGGACTGGATCAGGATGTGTGGTGAGACCTCTATTCGCGAGGAGCTTGCATAAACTGCGTGAGTCAGGCCATTAGTAATTTAGATGCAAGAACACGAAGGTATTGTAGAAGATACCTCCCAAAGGTGGTTTTGGGAATTATTTTTCCCAAGGTGGGGCTTCTACGAGCTCCGGCTCGGGAAACACATCGGGCCAGTAAAAGTTGTAGCTGCTTTTACTCGTGATGAAGTGGGCGATGTACCCTCCCCACTTCAGGAGTTGGCCGAAGCTATTGACTCTTTAGTCACCCCCCGAACGCATCCTGACCCAACGATACTCCGTTCGTTGGATTTGTCCGAGGCCTTAGAAGACTTACAAACTGAGTGGTTGACAAGGGATCCTTGTGAGTCTTGGGTGGCACTAAGTTGTGGTCCTAGAGGGGAGCATTTCGTAGTGGAAGTTGGTGTAGATGGCCGCAAATGTGGTGTCGTCGTAGACATCGGCTCCACACGAAACTTCATAAGTCGCGACTGCATTGATAAACTGCGCTTAAAGGATCGGGTGCAGCGCCTTAGTAGACCAGTAGCATCTACTTTGGCCAACAAAGAGCGCATGTTGGTAGAAGATTGTTAGAGATGTAGTACCTCGAGGTTGCCAAACCCGAGTTTGACTGGGACAAGAAAGTGCTGAAGCATAAGTTGCCAAATGGGAGAACCGTTAGACTAGCTAAGTACAAGGCTAGCAGGTTAGTTGACTCCTTTGGGTGCTTGTGTGCAGCATTGTTCAACAATTATTACAAACGGAACCAAGAGGAAGGTATGTACCTAGTTTTTGCCTCTGAGAAAGAGGAGGCAGTTAAAACACCCCCAGAGATAGAAAGTGTCGTCGCGAGGTACCCTGATCTGTTTGAGGAGCCTTCATGAGTCGTGGATAGGGAGGTGGTCCATGCCATAGAGATGATTCCGAGGAGGAAGAAACCCAAAGGACGAATCTATAGGATGGCACGGGCCGAGTTAGACAAATTATGGCAACAATTGAAAGAGCTTACAGAGAAGGGTTGGATATCGCCTTGCACCTCCTGTGACGAGGCTGCGGCAGAGCAACGAGGTTGGGGAAGAGAGAGGAAGGGAGTGAGAGTACACACACACACTCACTGAACTCGACACGGACTCGACACAACTCGACGGACGCAGACACAAAGTGGCAAAGTCGCAAAGTATCAAAGTCGCAATCTTGATTCCGAACACAATGTCGCAGCAAGTCACACTGAAGCACAAGCACTGAGGCCGAGAACTGAATCATCGAACTCAACTTGAGTCCGGTCTTAAGTAACGAACTCAAGTTGAGTCCGAGGGCAAAAGTGCAATTTGCCTCGGGCTGCACTGAAAATCGAAGGTCTGAGCCTGGGCGCGAGTATGCCGGATGGCGCCAAGTATCGAAATCTGAAAGTGCTAGAGGAGGGATTTGAGAACGGGCGCCAACAGTCAGGAACCGGAGATCAGAGACTCAAAAATACAGCCTAGCAGGTGGTAACCCGCGGACCAGGGATCGGGCCCTTGCTGAGTCTGTAACACTATCCCCTCCCTCTAGAAGGTAACGTCCCGGCTGCCAAAGACCAATGAACAACTATGAAGGACGGGACGGGGCCGATCACTGGTTAGAAAAGGGGAGCAATGCAAGTAGCAGGGTAATCCTATTGAGGTTCTACAAGGATGTGGGAATCAATGCTAAAGTAACAGGATAATACTATTGGGGTTCTACAGGTAACAGGCTAGTGATATTGGGCTTCCACAAGTAACAGGTTTGAAAAAAAAAAACGGATTGTTTGTTCAATGTTCAGATGTTGGGGTGTCTGAGGGGTCTGGGGAAACGACGTCTCGGGTCCGTATCGCAGTGTCAAAAGCAAGAGCAAGTCTTGAGGGAGGGCTTGGAGGGTGTCGCAGAGGTGGCGGTGAGGAAGCAGTCTTCAACGTTTATGTGATGGAGACGGCGAGGGCGTCAACTTGATTGTCCCAGTAGCAGCTTGCGCTTGATACACGGTCTGATGATGAGGTCTGATCTAGATAGCAGGTCGTAGACTGATCTTGATGTACATGTCAAAGGTGCTGCTCCAGAAGTCTGCGAGTCCAAGGTGCCGGCAAAAGGGAACAACATGGTGGCCAACCAGCTGTCTTATCTCCTCGTACTGAGCTGCAGCATGCGATCGTCCTCGTGCGCTTGCCATTAGATCCATTATTGTCGGCGACGCGCAGGGGCCACAAAGAGAATTTGGAGAAGAGAGACAAGGATGTGGTGGAGGACAGATGGGAGGACGGGGGGCGAGACGGAGGCAAGAGCTGATCGGACAAAGGGAGAACAAGGGGCAAGGGTTTTGTTGGGTGCAGGGGATGTGTGTAGTGCAGGGAGGCAGGGTTGGGGCAGGGTTTAGGCAGAGTTTAGGCATTGGGGGTAGCTAGGATATAGGATGGGCGATCATAGGCGGGAACAAGTTTCATAGCATTTTTAAGGTTAGCAAGAGGTTCCCATGTGGATTCTTCGTCAGGGTAACCTGTCCATTTAACTTTGTATTCTGTGATTGGTTCTGGGTGGTCAGATACCCGAGTAGTTCTTCGTCCTATGATGGCTTCGACGACGAATTCAGGGCATGTGGGTAACATGATTGGTGGAGGTCTAGGATATGGGCGGTCAGCGAATTGGGGTGGGGATTCATGGTATTCTTTTAGGTATTCTACGTGGAAGATAAGGTGGACACGACTCATGTCAGGGGGGAGTTGGAGCTTGTAATTGACATGGGAGGTTTGTTCAATGATGGGGAAGGGACCGAGCCATTTGTTCGAGAGTGTCTTAGACAAGCCGTGTTCGGGTTCAAAGCATTTGGCGGAGAGCCAGACTTTGTCCCGGTTTTTGAATGACACGTCACGTCTGTGTTTGTTAGTCTTGTTGGGTTGTTGTTCTTGTGTTCTTTCAAGGGCTTCGGTAGCTTCTCTGAGGATTTTGATCATTGTTGCTACCCATTCATTGAGATAAGGGCAGGGGGTGGAGGGGTTAAGTTGCGAGGGGAGCAAGAAGTCGGACCGCAAGCGCGGATGATAGCCAAGGTCGAGGTAGAATTGAGTCATGCCAGTGGAAGGACAAACAACATTGTTGTAGGCGATCTCGGCGGCGGTGAGCAACTGATCCCAGCCGTGTTGATGTGGATGACAATACTTCTCCAGGATTCTTTGGAGAGAATCGTTCATCTTCTCGTTTTGTCCATCGGTCTGTGGGTCGAATGCAGTGCTATACTTGAGCGTGGTTCCGTAGGTTTTAAAGAGGTGTTTCTAGAATTGTGGAAGGAAGCGAGGATCACGGTCGCTGATGATGTTCTCGGGGAGACCGTGATGGCGTGCGACATGGTCGAAGAAGAGAATGGCGACGTCCTTGGCGGTGTGCGATGTGGTGCAAGGGATGAAGTGGGCGCGTTTAGTCAGGCGGCAAACTTTGACATAGATGCAATCATGTCCGCGGTCGGTGTTGGGGAGACCATAAACGAAGTCCATGGAGATGGACTGCCACCGGTGGGTGGGGATCGACAATGATTGTAGCTTGTCGGGCTTGGCGCGAATGGAGGGATTGACGGCTTGACATGTGGGGCATGAGCGAATGTAGGCTTTGACGTCGGTGAGTAGGGAAGGCCAATAGAAGTAACGAGAGATGGTGTCGAAGCTTTTTTGGAATCCGAGGTGTCCCACAGTCTTGGCGTCGTGATGCTCGGCCAAGAGCTGGGTACGGAGGCCACATGCGTCGGGGATCCGAGTCGGCGAGTGCCTTTCGTGTCATGGAAAGAAGTTGGTCGTGAAGGGAGTAGTCGGGGACTGAGTCGAGGTCACGAAGTGTGTTGTAGATTGTTGAGAAATCCGAGCAAGAGAGGTAGCCTTGG